ACTGCCTGTCTGACTGCATGGATTGGTTTGCTTGGGCACACTGTGCCACGCACAGCAGCTCTGTGTGTTGTACATACACCAAACACAACCAGCTGAGCGACTTTCTGCCCAATTTAGAGGCAAGCTCAGGGGCAGGGAGGAAATGCAAGTTATGACTTAATGTGTAGTTAATATTCACAGACACGTGTTTTGTAATTGAATGCAAACTGGGACTTTTTCTGACAGTGCTTGGCATAATGGATCTGGACAGCTGTTCCCTCAAACAGTGAGTGAGGAATGATGAAAACTGAAGAAAGGATTCTGTGTTATTTCAGTGCTTGTTTGCTCTGAAGCCACCTTGTTGCATGCAGACCTGTGCTGCAGTGTGCTGGCAGTGCTGGGTAAGGAGGCACTAGGAATCACCCAGCTGTGTGCTGGATCTGCTGCAGTTGCCTAAAGCACAGCCTTCACAGATAGCCTTGGAATACGTAGGGGGTTTTGCTACCCAGTTGTTTCTAGAATAATAACCACTGAGCAGTGAAACTGAAGAGGAAAGGCAGTGCAGACATGATGAATAATAGATTGCATGTGTTTGCAGCTATATACCGTGCTCTGAGAGAATACACGTGGCAGTGACAGAAATGGCAGCCTTGTTCCCAAAAGTAAGTGTGTTTTTGGCTTCATTCTTTGTTGGATTTCCTTGCTGTAAATGGGTTGATGTTTGAATCTTTCATCCGTATACTTATTCCCATGCTAATCAGGTAAGGTTAATTTGCATATTCGGGCCTCTAATTTTACCTTTGGACTTCCAACTTGAAAAAGTGCATGCAGTTCATGAAAACCTACTTGGCTTTTGCTTATGGAGTCATGGGGCTTTACTGGAACTTAGCTGGACCCCCTGGTTTCTTTTTGAATGTGTTTCTCAATGCAGATACGTGTAGACCTTCAAAGTAAATTTCAGGGAGTCAAATCTCCATCCTGAAGTTATTGGGTAAAACTGGCAGGAGAATCTCATGCTGTTGTGCTTACTCTGAACTGACCATCTTCTATGTGCTCTGCCCTGATATCAGCCAGGAAACGGGCATTAGAAAATTTCTGTGAGTAACTTCTCACTGGAGAGCAGGAATCACTGTTCCCTGCATATCCACTGTCCCTGCACTTGAGATTAAAGAGGTGACATTGTGGGAACTTGTTTCATCCTCTCCTACCCCCCGCCTGCAGCGATGGCTTCTATCACAGCACAGAGGGAACGTTCCATGCGCTGTAGGAAGCAGAGCTGTAGCAGCAGAGGGCCCACCTTAAAGAGCAACTTGTCGAGCACCACTGGGTAGTTAAAAGCCATCCTAAAACGCTTCTGTTTTTTCTGTCTGGTTCCACTTCTGCTTTCCCAGAAACCCAAATCTGAGCTGGTAAGGACTTCTTTGCGCCTGCTGACATCTAGTGCCTACAGACTCCAATCCGAGTGCAAAAAAACCCTTCCTGTGGAGACGTGTCCCACGACAGACATCCAGCTGGTCACACAGCAGGTCATCCAGTGCGCCTACGACATCGCCAAGGCTGCCAAGCAGCTGGTTACCATCACAACCAAAGAGAACAACAACTGAGTCACACTCGGCTTTTTCTGTTGTTGTTTTAGAGGTTGGATTTCAAATATAGGTGTGGAACTATTTGGATTTTTATGAGGAAAAACTAAAGGGGCAAGAAACCTCTTTTTTTTGTTGTTTTTTGTTTTTTTTTTTTTAAACTCAGTATTATTTTTGCATGTTTTCTAACAATTTTAATGATTAATTTAACCCACTGCCTTATTTTGTGCCTGTGTTGCCAGTTTAGTTACAGATAGTAGCATGTTGCAAATAGCTGTTGAGCCAATATCACGTACCAGCATTGTATCAAGCTCTTGCTAGATGTTTCCTTGGGGCCACTTGCTGCTTTCAGATATTGCTTGCCAAATCCCCACCGAAGACAACTGCACATATCAGAGGGCAGGATCTCACCCTGCTCTGTCCATCCTGGAGCCTCGTGTGCAGTGCTGCTGCTGCTAATGGAGAAACCTGCAGTGAAGCGGGCTCTGAAGGCTCCAGGACAACTGCTCACCAGCAGCAGGATGCTTGTAGTCCTGGTGATGGAGTACAAGCCAGACTTGACCTGTTCCCATCAACTGTTGTGCAATAATAGTACTTTTTTAGTCTGCTGAAACAAGAGTAGCTGTGGGCATCCAAGCTTGTTACATGTAACTATACAAGGTCTTTGTCACTTTATCTGTTTTGGAAGGAATTTGAATAGTTATTTCTTTTAGTTGTCACTATGCCGTTAATATATATGTTTGATGTTACTTTAGGGCATTAGTGGTTAAAATATTATCCTTTGTTTCTGGCTCAGTAACTCATTTTTAAGTTTCCTATGGAATTTCTCTGTCATCTTCAAGGCAACGCCATGGTTGCAGCAGCATTGATGAAGTTTCACTGAAGATTTGTGATTTAAAAGGAAGAAAAAAAAGGAAGTTACAGTGCCAGTTGAAAGCAGCTGTGTCTGCCATAGCATAGAACCTCTGTACCTCACTGTACCCAAATGTGAAAAGATCTCTTATATCCCATAAGTTTTGTGCAAAGCATTCAATGTTTGTCAGGCTGTATCCTGGATAACCCGTGCTAGGCTGCCTTTCACAGAGGTACATAGGGGTAAACATCCACATGCATGTCAGCTTCTTCCAGTTCACGAAACTTCAAGAAAACACATAGAAGACCATAATTACCAAAAAAAGTCTGAACTGCATGGAAAAAAAAGGGCCAACTTCTGCCTCCTTGCATCCTCTAGGAAGCACGCTGTGATGGAGGAGCCCGCTGCAGCACTTCAGCTGGCAGCCAGTTCATTTTATGCAGGAGCTGAAGGTGCAGAGCTGTAGCAGCTGTCACGTGTCAGCAGTTGAGGAGAATTCAGACAGCTTTCACAGAAGCATCTGAGCCAAGGATGGCTGTCTGCTGCGTGACAAACAGGGCACGGAGCCTGCCAGCAAGGCTTCCTGCTGCAAAAACTGCCGTGTGGAGGTTAGCAAACAAACTCCAGCCATGCCTTCCTGTTCAGGTCAGGCTGTGTGTGTATGGTGTGCAAACACCGAGCGCCTGGACGCTGTGGGGTTCCTGGATGTTGTACTTAGATCCTTTTTTTCTAAGTAGCCTGAGTTGGGAACTGAGGGTTGATGACAATCCAGTAAATTAATCTCCAGCAGGGTGACTTTTTATTCCCCCTTTCTACGCTTGTGATGCTGGAGCTGTCTCTAAGCTCACAGGAATGCAGACAGGCTGGGATTAGAACCAGAAGAGACATCTTAAAAGCTACCTTCCAAATTACGCTGCTGGCACTTAAATACACTGATAATCTGCTGGGAGCTTGTTCTGAACTTGGCATCATTGAAAGGTAGCAGACAGCATTTTTAAATCTCTCAGGCCAGCGTTGCATGCTTCCCTTTCACACACCTTACCTGATTTCCAAAGCTGGGTGACCCTGAGTTTCCTTGTAGGTGTCACTTCACACGTGTACCAAACAAAGGGACACTGCAGCAGCTGACAGCCCTTGCTCCAGGTTTTCCTAGGACTCACTGGAAGGTCTAGCTGTAAGAACATGGCCACCTGTAATGGATTGATTTGGCCTTCTGGCACGTCAGCCATATTTCTGGTAGTTTCCACCATCTCTGAACAAATGTTTACTCCAGGTTGGTCCTCACCATACCACAGCACTGCTCCAGAACCACAGTGCACGTGATGTGGGATGTGCAGATTTCAGATTCCATCCGTAGAACGGAGGCAGCCTGGGCAAAGGCTTATGTGCTGTGTCTGATCTTTTCACAGAGTGGCACAGCTGGGGAACTGTGGAGCAGCAGCTGAGCCCCCAAATCCTACAGCACTGCAGGTCAGAAGATTCACAAAATTGTTGGGTTTGTTGTGTTGTTTTCTAAGGAGATGTCCTTTTCCCCCCCCTTGTAAACAACTTTGCTCTTTCTTTACAATATGCTGCATAGGAAAGTAAAAATTCTTTTTGCCTTTTCCAAAATTTGTATTTTTCAGTGTCATGCTGTCTGATTTAATCTTTTGTTTACTGTATTACTATAAAATGCTAAAACCTTTCCAGTGTGTGAAATACATGAGATTATTTATCACTGTTTTAAGAGAAAAAGTCTTGAATGAGTTCCTGTAGCTAAGATGGATCTGAATGTACCAAGCCAGCTGAAGTGCTGGGCCTGGTTTTCAGCTGCAATTTCCTATGACAGCAGCTGAGAATCAAGTGTAATCAGCTGAAACTCCTCTCACCTTCTGCACTGCAGCAATTTGAAACTAAAAGGAAACTAACAAATATTCAGCTCATAATTATTCATTGTGAAACAAGGGAGAGGAAAAAAAAATAAAGCAAAAGTTTATGGAAGCTTTCAATATGTCCTGGAGAGGAACTGGGCACGTTAACAATTACTGCCAAGTTACCAATCTTACTGATCTGAGATGGGTCACGAAGCAACCCTGAAAAGACAGCAGGGGCTTCCAGGCATGTCCTCCTTCAGAGGTGGGAATGGGGATTTTAAAGCTCAAATAGAAAGCAGCAGCTAGAGGCTCACAGTTCCTGTTCCACAGGAGGCACAGGTCCACGTTTCAGGTCTGCAGCAGAAGTTTGACTTCTTTGCTGTTTTAACCCAGTGTAGCACTTACTAGAATGCATCGTGTCTCCTGAACGTGGAGTAAGCAGAGCAGTTCAGTAATGCTCAAACCTCCAGCTCTATTAACGGCAGCAGAAAATTGATCTGGTGTTCAGTTGTGTCACAGCCAGGTATTTTCAGAAGCACAACTTCTGAGTTGAGTCCTGGCATCACTGCAGGCCAACCCACAGCCATAATTATTTCAGGAGCTCCTCAATTCTTCAAAGTGTTCTCATCACCCACAGCATCATTTTGTGCTCTCAGTTAGAAAGGATGATAACATTCAGGTCCACGCTGCTTTTGGGTGACCGCAGAGCTAACAGTGAAACAAAACATCATGGCTACTTTATGGGCTTTATCATTAATTTTGCACACACGCTGCCCAGCAGGCAAAGAACACACAGTAGCAAATGCAGACTATTATCATGAAAAATAAGTCACTTTTAGTGGATGCTCTGGTGCAGTAACATCCCCCTTCCACCTTTCTCTGGCTCTTCTAGCTACTATCTATTAAATGACAGAGAGTTGCCTGTTCCTAGTTTAGTATGAGAAACATAGTCTTCTGGGCATTTGGTTAAGCAGAGTAACACAAACTCGGATTCATTTTTAGCACAACAGAAGAGGAAAAGATTGAACAGCACAGACGCACTGCTGCAAGAACTTTAACAACTGCTAACGTTTAGTTTCACATTTGAGGCTGTCATCCTTCCTGATGCCCCTGAGCCTTAGGATGACTTCCTTGCTGCACTGCTACCTGCTGCAGTAGCCCTGCTCAGCCATGCTCCTGGCCTCCTGCTGCACCAGCTCCGCACAGCGCTGCTTGTTTGATCTCTCCTGCTCCTCCTCCTCCCTCTGGCGTTCCTGCTCCTCTTGCTCTTGTAAGCGCCGTTCTGTCAGCTGAGCAGAGACAAGATGAGGGCTGTTACAGCCAGGTCACACAGATGCAGGCCAGAACACAAACACGTGGTTGGAGGCAGTAGCACAGCAAGGTTTCCAGCACAACCAGCCTGAACAGGCGCGCTGGCTCAGCCAACAGATGACACAACAAAGCCAGTGGCTGTGCAGACACTTGAACAGAAACAGCCAGAAAGGCTGATGGTGCACTTGGGACCAGGAATGTCCCCGACTGATGGCTCAGAAGCCAAGTAAGTCTCTGCAACGGCACGTTTCCATGCACTTTGCAGAAGGAACAGCTGTGTCAGTGTTCTGAACAGCATCTTCGACACTTTGCTCTCTCTGAAAAGCATGCTATACCTGAGCTTCCAGTTCCCGTCTGCGAGCTGTTTTCAGTTCCTTCTCTTGCTCTTTCTCTCGCCTTGTCAGTTCTTTTGCCTCCTCAAGCTCTTTAATCAGTTGCTCTCGGTGCTTTATAGACTCTTCTTGGGCCTGTCTGTTTAACTCCATCTTCTCCTGGATCTGGCGCTGCCTGCCTGCAAGGACCTGTATGAAATGAGAGGATTAAGAGAGTAGATAAGGAAGAGGCCAGATTTAGAAGCAAGCCTGGGGAAATCTCAGTATAGGCAGTTAAACAGTTCTCAGAAAAGTTTATCAGACCAACAGAAAGACTCGAGCACAGAAGGCTGTGACCCTCTGCAGGTCGGAAGGTCACAGCTGGAACAACAGCTTTGTCAAACCAGGAGACACCTCATCAGAAAAAGTCATCACCTCATTCATCAGGCGATCTCTGGCCATCTTCTCTCTTTCCCATTGTTCTTCCCTCTTCTCCCACATTTTTCTAGCTTCTTCTCTAAAGGTGAAAGAAAGGTTCCTTTCTAATGTTACTCCTTACCTGCAGGCACATTTCTACAACAGCAAGGCCAACCAGGCACCTTTTTCTGATGTCCACTTCTAAACGTCCACCTATTTAACAAACAGCAACGAACTCTGCCAAACAGGCAAGGACATTCAGCACACACATTCTCTTTAGGGGACGTACAGCAGAGGTGCACACACACCTAAAAATGATCTGTAGCTCTGCCTCCCTCTCTTTTTCTAACTGGAGCTGTTCCTCAATGACACGTCTCATCCAGGCAGCATCTGCAACAGCTCGCTCTCGTCTTTCAGACTGGCGGCGCTGATCCTCTTCTTCTTTCTCGAGGAGGGCTAATAAGATTTGTCTGTCTGTTTCCTTGAGGGGAAAAAAAAAAAAACCTGAAGATTAACAACCATCCAGCAGGCTTCCAGCCTGCCTACTTCTGTGCTCTGTACAAATCATTGGTGACGTAGGGTGTGCGCTCAGAAAGGCACTGACTGCCAGCTTCACTGTGATCTTTTCACTCCAGCCCTGTTCATAAGCCAGAAGAGGCTTCCTAACTGCTTATCTGTAGGCACTGGAGGCAGACACACACACACACACACACACACACACAAAGAACAAGTTCCTTCAGCATGCAGTATCTATAGTGTGTAAATCATAAGATGTTTTCCTCTTACCAGCTCCTCCTGTATCTGCTGGGCTCGTCTCTTCAACTGGGCATCACACTGATGCCTCAGAAAGCGACTGAAGGAGAAAAGCAAAACAAATTCAGACTCTCTCTAAAGCCCTGTTTTATAATATACCAGCATTCAAGAAAGTATATTTATGACAATAAAATATAGAGAGGCAACAGAGATACCTGCTACCTTGAACACGAACAAAAAGCAGTATTGACACCAATGCATTTATGCTTATTAGCTGTTCTGGGCACTTCCAACAAAAAAACAAGTATTTACTGCCCACCCCTGCTATCTAAAACATCTCCTGCTGCAACTATCATGGTCATAGGCAGGGCAGAGATTCTATTCATCACTGCTTAGAGCTACATCGATCCCATACCCAAGCTCAGTCTTCTTCCGGTGCTCTTCCATTTGTTTTCTCTCTTCTTCTAAGCTTTCCAGCTCCCATTGCTGCTTTAATAAATCTTCTTGTTCTTTCTTCAGCTTTGTTGCCTGATGTTTTTGAAAAGGGAAAATCAATAACCAAGAAAGCTCAGGGAGCTAGGACATCCCTGAGAGCCTTTGTACCAGAGTTTGTACCACACTGTTCCTTTGCAAGCAGTCAAACTCACAATTATGGTAAATACTCCACACCATTTGTGTATCTCTTGCTCACAGCATAAGAGATAAGGTGAGGAGCTTCAGCTGAAAAAGCCTTCCATCTGAACCTCTCACACACCTGCATTCATGGAGAGGTCTGCATTACTGACAGAATGCAAGTCACAGCTGACTGTGTTTCAAGTTTAATCTAGGGGAAATCCGGAGGGAAGAGGTCAGGTCAACGTTGCTGCATTTCCAAGTGAAGCAATGAACTTCCTTCCTACATGAGGAGAAGCTGAAAATTACCTCTGCCTCCCGTAACTTCAGTTCTTCTATCTGTTGAAGCAACATCTCTGCTTGTTTCTTGTTTTCCAGCCGACGTTTCTCTTCCTCTTGACTTATTCTTTCCAGAGCCTCCCTTCGTGCAATTTCATACTCATTTTCACAAAGCTTTCTCTCTTCTAGTTCTGTTGCTCCTTGCTTATAGAGCCAAAACAAAGCATTGCATTTAAGGTTAGGCTAAACTCAAAGAAACAGCCTGTGGTTCAGATGCTCAAATCGGATTCCTGGAAGCTGACACATATAGAATACTGAATAAGATATTCTAGGGAAGAAAACAAGCACTAAACAAAACTACAGAGACAAGATACTTGCTGGATATGAACAATAACTCCTAACTGAAAACATCCTTCCATCAACAACTCCTGCTATTCTGCAGACACCAGAACCTCCCACCACTGTGAGAACAAGCAAGGCAAACTCAGTCATTATTCAGTACAAGAGAACAACAAATAGCCAGCTCTCATTCCTCTCACACCCCAGCCCTGGTAGCACAGGAAGGCCAGCCTCTTGCAGCCCGTGTTTCAGGCAGCCCCAGCATACCTGCTGCTTTTGCTTCAGCTGCTCACCCCAGGACTCCACCACGCTTTTCTTGTGCAGCTCTGACTCCACCTGCAAAGAGAGGCAGCACTGCTGTCAGAGGCTTTCTTACCACCAGCAGAACCCAGGACTGCCTGGAACCCCACAGCCTGTTCTCTGCACTGTCCCCAACGCCCAGAGGTCACAAGCTCAGGCTGATGTCACGCACCAGTTCAGGGACACTGTGGTGATACTGAAACCAGCTGCTGGAGCAGCATGTCAGCAGAGTGGGAAACAGGTTAGTACCAATGGTCTTTACATCACAGGCACTGAAGATCTGCTTTCACTATCAGATTTCTGAGTCTCTGAGAAATATCTGCTTTGGGGTGATCCCTTGCAGTTGGGCCTTTTTACTTCTTCACCCTCTGCTTGTCAGATCTTGGTGTAGCGACTGCTGTGACTCAGGGTGAATTGTAACAGCAGATATATGATGACACTCAAGTTAAATTTGGAGTACTGCTGTGGAGTCCTCAGTACAGGAGAGATACGGATCTGTTGGAGCACGTCCAGAGGAGGGCCAAGACAATGACAGACAGAACAGCTCCCTGTGTGGACAGAGGGAGAGCTGGGACTGTGCAGCCTGGAGAGGAACGGGCTGTGGAGAGAGCTGAGAGCAGCCCTTCAACATCTCAAGGGGCTGGAAGAAATAAGGTTTCAAACTGAAAGCGAGGAGGTTTAGACTGGACATAAGGAAGTTGTTTACAACGGGGCAGTGAGGCACTGCACAGGGTGCCCAGAGAGGTGGTGGTGCTCCATCCCCGCAGACAGCCTCAGGGGACGGGGCTGTGAGCGCTGATGGAGCTGTGGGTGTCCCTGCGGTCGCGATGCCGTTCAGGTCTCCTCCCACTCAGTTCTGTGACTCGCTCACTCCGAACGCGCACCTCCCGGAGCTCAGCGCAGTTCTGCTTCCAGTGCTGGTGCAGCAATCGCTCGGCGACCTGAACGCAGACAGCGATGTCGGCGGACGCACCGCGCACCGCCCGGCTCGGCACCACCCCCCGCGGCGCTTACCCGCCTCCTGCGCTCCTCGCGGGCGGCCCTCAGCTCCGCGCAGCGCTCCCGTTCCCCTTCCGGCTCCGTCCCGCCGCCCGCCCGCAGCTCCGCCTCCAGCGTGTCCCGCTCGTCGCTCAGCAGCTCCCGCAGCCGCTCCCTGCGCTGCTCCAGCTGCTCCAGCCGCTCCGCCGCCTGCCGCCGCCCCGGGCTCGGGCCGCTGGCACCCCGCGGCGCGCTCCACCGTGCCTGAGCGGAGCAGCAGATCGCGGCGCGGGCGAGCGAGCGGCTGTAGTTCTCCCAGCACAGCCGGCTCTGCGCCTCCTGCTCCCGCCGCCGCTCCAGAGCCCGGCCACGCGTCCCCCGCCACAGCGCCATGACCCGCCCTTATAGGCCGCGACGGCTGCCGCGCGTCCCCGTGGCAACGGGTACGGGATCCGCCGAGGGACAAAAAGCGTCGGGGCGGCGCTTCGCGGAACGGAGAAGCCGCACGGGAAGGGCCGCAACACCCGAGCTGCTGTCAGCGCGCGTCGTGCCGCACAGCCCGGGCTTTAAGTATTCATGGCACTGTGAATACTTCAGGCGGGTGAAAGGTTTGGGTTTCCTCGGCCTGGCCCTGGGCACGGCCTCTGGGTGCTGACTATGAGGGGACGAGGTCTGGTGCTGCCCCGTGCCTCCTGCACGGTGCATCCAGAGCGCCCAGTACGTGTCTGGGTTTTGGGAACTGCCCTGCTGGAGGCTCTGCTGGAGGCAGGCGTGTCCCGGCTTCAGCTCCGTGGCTGTAAACAGGAGAGCGGTTTTGTACGCAGCCTAATCACGGTAGGACAGGGCAGAACGGCTTTAAACGACAAGAAAAGAAACAGGTTGGATGTCAGGAAGAAATTATTCGCTCAGAGGGCACTGAGGCCCTGCTCAGAGCTGTGGGTGCCCCATCCTGGAAGTGCCAGAGGCCATGGATGGGTCCTGGGCAGCCTGAGCTGTTAAACTGGGCTCAGTCCTGGCTGCTGCCCGGGTCACCGAGCTCCGTGCCATCTGCCCACCGTGAAACCTTCACCTCTGCTAAATAATTCAGAGCCACCCGATCACAACACCTGGCTTGGGGCCCAGCTGTGGGCGTAGAGGACAGTGGGTGCACAAGGGGCACAGGGCTGCCCAGCTGCCCGCTCCCTCGGCCGGAGCTGCGAGGCCCGGGGGTCCCGGAGGGTCTCGGTGCGGACCGCGTGCTCCCGGGGCTCGGCGCACCGCAAGCCCCGCCCCTTCACCTCGATAAGCCACGCCCATTGCACCGCTAAGCACCGCCCACTCACTGCTACAAGTCCCGCCCTCTCGTTCCGATTGGCGGCCAGGTCGGTGGGTCGTGCGCAGCCATTGGCTGGCCGCGAGGAGGGGCGTGACGCGGCGCGCCGCGCTGCCGGGTCGGTGCCGGGTCGGTGCGGGCCGGGCCGGGCCGGGCATGGCGTTGCTGCTGGAGCACGAGTTCCGGCCGCTGCCGGCAGACAAGCAGATCGAGACGCTGCCTTTCCTGGAGGCCGTGGCGCACCTGCCGCCCTTTTTCGGTAAGAGCGGGACGAGGGGGCTGCGACACCTGCTGGACCCGATACCGGACCGCACCGGGATGTTGCCACCCACGGGCACGGAGCGCTTACCAACCCCCGCATGGACCGGGCCGCCCTGTCCGATGCCGGGACCCCAATCTGGGTCCCACACCCCCCGGGTTCCATCCCCCCGGTCCCGGTCCGCACCTCCCGATCCCGCCCCCGGTCCCGCCCCACTCCCCCGCCCCACCGAGGGACGCTGCCCGGCGGCACCGTAGTTGCGTCAGGGCCGGGCGTGGCGCCCCATCCCGTCCGACCCGCCGAGCAGCAGCGTTGGGAAACGGCCCGACCCCCCCCCGGCGGTGTCCCGGAATGGAACGGGGCAGAACGGGGCTGAGCCGCCGCGCTGCACAATGCGGCATTGTACGCCGCACGGGGACAGCCGGGCACGGGGGCGAACCCCGCGCGGTCCCACGCTAACCCCGTGTCCCTGCAGACTGCCTGGGGACGCCCATCGTGTACTCACCCGTCAAAGCCGACCTGGCCGGGAACATCAAGGTACGAGGGGGTCACCACCCCACGCACGCCGCTGTGGGACCAGGGCTTGGCCGTGGGTGCCCACCCTGACCTCGCACCTCTGCACCCTTGCAGAAAATCCGGGCTGTTTACGACTCCAACCCCACCAAGTTCAAAACGCTGCAGAACATCCTGGAGGTGGAGAAGGAGATGCACGGTGCTGCCTGGCCCAAGACGGGCGCAACGCTGGCGCTGATGTGGCTGAAGAGGTGACACGTTTGTGCATCACCCCTGGGCTCAGCCTGGGATGTGGAGTCGGGGGTCTTGTATGGCTTGGGTTCAGAGTGCCATCCCACATCGGGTTTGGGGTTCCAAGCCTTGGCATCACACTACCAGACTTCCTCTCCCGACAGGGGCCTGAAGTTCATGCTGGTGCTGCTGCAGAGCATCTCCGATGGCGAGCGGGACGATGAGCACCCCAACCTCATCCGTGTCAATGCCATGAAAGCCTATGAGATTGCCCTCAAGAAGTACCACGGCTGGATGCTGCAGAAGCTTTTCATGGTGAGAGCGGGGGGTGACTTGTTTTGTGGAGTTTTTCACAGGGTCATAGAATCATTAAAGTTGGGAAGTACCTCCAAGATCACCAAGTCGGACCACCGACCCATCTCCACCATGCCTGTGTCTCTAAGGAGATATTTGCAGGGGACGCTGCTGCTGATGGGGTCATCCTGGTGTGGGGTGGGCAGGGGGACCTGGGGATCTCGTTGGGTTTTGGGCATCCCCGCAGCCAGGGCTCAGCTCTGCTCTCACCCCATCCCACAGGGCTCAGTCTACGCGCTGCCCTACAAGTCAGACCTGCTCAAGGCTTTGGAGAAAGGCAGGGAGGTGAAGGAGGAGGAGAGCATTGAGAAGATCCACCAATTCCTCACGAGAGTGACGCCCATCCTGGATGCCATCTATGAGATGTACACCCGGATGAACGCCGAGCTGAGCTACAAAGCCTGATGGGGTCAGCACAGCAGCGGGGCCGCACCGCTCCACAAATCCCATTCTGCTCTGGATCTGCAGCCGATAGCCCGTTTTCTAAAAAGAATCATTAATTTTCTATCGAGAATATAGCAATAAACCAATTGTACCCCGGGGGCACCTCGGGATTTCCCAAGCTTTTGTACCACAGAGGAAAAATCCGCTGTTCCTGGGAACCTGTTGCAGGGAATGACGTTTGGTGGGCGGCTGATGGTGCTGCTGTGCTCTGGGGCTGCCCCAGTCCTGGCTGTGCCGTGCAGCTCTGGGCACCCAGCGCCGCTCTGACCCCGCAGCGGAGGAACGGAGGAACCCAAGCGATGACCTTCCCGGTGCCCCCAACCTTTTCCAGCGCCGCGGATGGAAGCGGTGCCGGGATGTTCCGAGCGCTGTTTGCCGGATGCCTTAAGGACCTTTCACCAGCGGGAAGCAGAACTCAATAAATCTCACCTTAACCTGAAGCGTAATGCGGGACCGGGGCGGGGGCTGCGCTGGGGGGCGGCCCTGGGGCGGGGAGCGGGGCGGGACGGGCACAGGGATGGGCCCCGCGGCGGCGGCGGAGCGGCGGGAGCTGCGCGGGACGGGCGGCGGGACGGGTACGGGGCTGGGGGTGGCGGGAGGGGGCCGGGATGGGGATGAGGGTGGGTGGGGAGGGGGCAGCGGGCAGGGATGTGAGCTGCGGGGGTTCCGGAGGCAGAGGGCAACCGGAAAATCGTATCCCCGGCCCCAGGGTGAGCGTGGACCTAGCGGGGGCTGTTGGCTTTGGGAAGGCGCTCGGGCTCTTGGGGTGGGCTCTGTGTTCCCCTCTTCCCTCCTGCCGGATTTCACAGCCGGGTAATGGGGCAGCAAGCCACCGCCCGCCCCGCTGTGACCCGCAGGTCCCAGTGCCACCACTGCCATCGCCCCGGGGTGGGCGCGGGGCTGCGTTGGGCTCAGGAGGGCTGTGGGGCCGCAGCGGGGCCGTGCCGTGCTGAGCCAGGCATTGACTCATTCCCTCCGTGGGGTGAGGAAGTCTGAAAACCAACAAAACCCAAATAACTGAAAGAGCCAAAGTCAACCCGATTGACAACACCTTTCCTGGCAGCGGCCGTGCTGTGGGACTGCCCCCGTTCAGAGCCCGACATTTCCCAACGCTTCCTCCCCCACCTGCTCTGCCCCATTGCCGGTGACCCCATGGGCACATTCCTGCGTGGGGCTGCAGCTGATGGCCGCAGGATTGATGCATGGCTTCTCTTTGTGCCGCTATGGGTTAAGTCCAATGAAAAACCGGTTCAAACCTCCAGGAAGAGGCAGGAACCCGATTTCCATTTGCTTGCTGCCCAGGTGGTTCCCCCAGCGTGACGTCCCCTCTGCTGGGGTCACACACACCAGACTGCTCCTGCATCCCCAGGGGTGCTGCCAACGGGGAATCCCCCACCTGAAGGCTGCAGGACTTGGGGCTGCAGGATGTAGGGCTGCAATGCATTGCTCTGCCCAGACCCACCCGCTGCAAAATTGCAAGGCGCTGGAGGCAGACCCACACTGGAGTTCATTCCCCTCCCTGCAGTGCTGGCGGCCCCTGGGTTTGGCAGCTGGGGCTATATTTGGGCTGTGCCCTCTATGCTGTTCTCCAAAGCCGTGCTTTGCTGTGGTTTGGGCTGGGATTTGCAGCACAGCAGAGAGACGCTGGGTGCTCCCTGATCTGTGCGTTCCCTGTCTGCTGCTGGGAACATGCAGAGAGCCTGTGTTTGCCCGGGGTCGGGTGGGTGAGATATGGGGGTCACTTTTGGCAGGTGCTCATGGAATTTCGTGCAGGAAAGGCAGCTAGAAGGAAATGCTGCACCTCCTTGGGCTGCAAAACCCCCCATTGCCCGTGGTCTGTTGTGGCTTGTCATACAGAACTGCAGAAAATGATATGTTTCCCCGTGTGCTTTTTCTGTCTCTGAACCCCATAGGGCTGAGGGCGAGGGCTGAGCGTGCTGCTGGGAGGCAGAGGCAGTGCTGGGGCTGAGCATTTTGGGACCTCACGGTGCGTTTTGGTGGGGAGTGGGGCTGGGGGGAGCCCAGGGGTGTTCATTAAAATCCATCATTTCCTACCAAAATTCGTAATTCCTTATCAAAATCCATTTCTTATAAAAAAAAACCAAAAACCTCCGTGGTTTCGTATTGAAATTCATCATTCCTTGTTGAAATGCACTACATGTGCCACTTGCCTCTTGGCCAGGCTGTGTCCTCGTGCTGTGCCGGGTCAGTGGGCTGGGGGGAACCAAATGATGCCAGGGTCAGGGTGTAACCCTTCTCCCACCGTGGGGGATGGCCATA